TGTATGTATGTATGTATGTATGTATGTATGTATGTATGTATGTATGTATGTATGTATGTATGTATGTATGTATGTATGTATGTATGTATGTATGTATGTATGTAACGAAAGAAATAAAAACAATTTTGGAATCGTTAAATCTGATAGATTCTGCATCTTGTTTGTGCGTGCTTCAAGAGCACTTTATGCTTTTAAAATTTTATCTTTCTCTTTGGTATATATTATTATTTGATCCGAGAAATCAGAAATTTTATCACCATTATTGGTCTCTCTATATACAGTTTACATCCCTTCAAAATCAGCGCTGAACTCCGCACATACAATTCAGATTTTTCTCACACGATCTTATGTTACTTGTCTTAATAAGGATAAACTAAAAGTTTTTTATTCTTTGTTTCATAGAAAGAGCCTACAATCAAGATTAGGTATGTATTTTGTAACACCCCCAACTCGTAGGATCCGATTTGCCCGCGACTTGACGGGTCGAAGGGTTACATAGATGGTATTAAGGACCATCCATTTAACAAAATCAAATTAAATGCATAATTAATTAATTGATAATTAATTAATTACTGAGAAGGACCCAAAAATATGTGAATTGTAAAGTTGGCCAATAAATAATAAAAATTATATCATTATGTAGAGTTTAACTATCTGATTTCAACGGTTCAATCGGATTTCAATTCGGGGAAAGTTAGACCAAAAAGTGTTCCCCGACCGGGACTAAATTAGTCCCAATCAGGGACTTGCGTTTGAAATGGGAAGAAATCGCAGCCAGCTCCACCCAGCCGCCGAAACAGTCGAAGGAGAGCTCATCAACCTGTGTCACCTTCCTCTTCCTTCTCCTATAAAAGGCTACCATAACACCCTCCATTCTTCACCATTTCTTACAAAGTTTCATTCTATTCTGTTGCTGGGAGTGAGGAGAACGTGGTGGTGCTGTCGTATTGGTGTGAGGTCGCCGGAGTTGAGAGCTATCGTCGCCGGAAGTTTCGCCGGAAAATCTTCAAAACCTTCATTTACCTTCGAGGTAAGCCCGTAGATATATCTAAAGATTAGAATGTTCATATAGGCTATTTTTATGTTCATAAATGGTCATTTGGTTGAGTTTTGTGTTTGACATGTTTGAAGAAATAAACCTTGAATTTGATGTTAAAAATATGTTTTAATGATTCTAAAATGATCTATGAACCTTGGAGAACATTTCTATATAGTTTAATTGAAGTTTGGTAACTAAAATTGATATTTCCGAAAATGGACCGAAGGTAGAAGACGATGAACCGTAACAGGCGGACCGATCCAGGAAACTAGATTGATCACCGCAGTAGAAGAACTCTACTGGGTGGATCGATCATCTCTTGTGGATCGATCACCTGGAGAGAAATTGTGAAGAGGATTGATCCTACAAGCTGGATCGATCATCCGACCTGTCTGCTCCAAGAATGCTTTTGAAAATGTTATTTTTGAACTCAAAAATTCTATTTTTGATACCAATTAATTATGAACAATATAATTATGATTTTGTACAATAAAAATGATATTTTTGACACATAAAACCTTATATGATGCATGACGGTAAGTTCGGGTGTTAACACTCGAGACTAGGCCGCTAATTGTTATTAAATGTTATATTGAATGATTATTATGATTCTGACCAATTATGAATGATAAACCTACTGAGTAGAATGATTATTAAATCATAATTAAAAATGAATATAATAATGATCACGAAAACGGTGTATATTATTAAGGATATCTAGAAGAAGTCTAAGATATACCCACTTGTATATTGATGATAATTAGTAAGGATATCTAGAAGAACTGTAAGATATACCTCCTTGACCAATTCATATTTCGGGTTAAAACGTACCTACGAGATCCAGACCGGATATCACCCACCCGACAAATCATTGTTCGGTTGGTACGTAATCCACATGACTCATAGGGTGGATTATCGATTCTTGTGTTCTGCATTAAACTATTTATAGTTTAAGGGCCTGGTTAGAATTACTGCCTTAGACTAGGAATAGCTAAGAGCTGAATATAAAATAATGTGACCTTAGATTAAGAATAATTTAAGAGCGTTATTGGTATATTGAGTATCAAATGACTTGGAATAAAATATTGTGAATATTATGAATATTTAATTCATATATTGTGTGCATGATATCAAATGGTTAATTATGAATTGAGATTCAATTTATGTGGATGTTCGACTTTTTAGATATGCTTACTCAGCTTCACTGCTGAGCGTGTAGTGTATTTTGTTTGCTACACGCAGATAAACAAAAAGAATGAAGTGATGATTCCTGGAGGCAGACGAATGAATTGATGTTTTAAAAGACATAAACATTATTATGTTTGTATTAAGTTTTATTCAGCTTCCGCAACATTAAATTACTCCGTTACTATTTTGAATTATTTATTATGAAATAAAGTTTTAAATGTTTGAAATATTTTGAATGTCTACGAATACCAAGTTTATAATTTAGTCCGAAAGGGGCTGCAGACCTAGACGGATTAGGGTATTACAAAACCTAAATTGAGTTCAGTCCATATAAGTAATACGATACGACAAAGGTGGGTTCATTCCCGAAAAGAATTTAAAGTAATATAAGAAGAAGTAATAATCCACGTCCGCCATCTGTGCATCTCCTCCCTCTCATTGACCTCCTGGATAGGCTCCAAGTTCATCATTCCTACCTGCGTATAGCAAAGACAATACTATACGGTCAGCATAAGCTGAGTGGCAACTATAACAAGAGAATACGTAGTGGTAAATCATATAGATAAAACATAATCATACATGTACTTAATGTACGTATATCACAAAATGATTTAACCGAATGACCATATGATTGCATGATGCATGAGTTAGCCGTGCAAGGACCCCTTGCGCTCCGAGATCACACCACGAGGGTAATGATCCGGGCAAACCTTAGTCCCATAATGAGACTAGAATATTGTAGATGGTATCCAAAAAAACTTGGACTACCATGTACATACACAAAGCCCCTGAATGATACCTAAGAGGCGCACTAGGCCTGACCTCTTAAGCGATATTCCATGATATGAATGATTCCTACGTGATGCGTGATGAAATGAATGAATATACAAACCTTTGGAATAAACCAAGAATATATCATTCATAATAATAACATACTGTAGTTGATTAAAAGAACCATATTTGATAAACATTTAAGTTTAATACAGGTTTCTGTCCAGATCCTTGGACTATGATGGTCAACCATTCTTACTGGCGGTTGACTGTTTGGTCACTAAGACTAAGATTGAGACTCCAACGGTTGATCATTCCTTGGACCGTACGTACCCTTATCTGGACGGTTGAGGTGGTGAACCGCAGAGGAGAAGAATGGTCCACAGTACCTACCGACAGTCGACCGTGGCAGTAGCTCGGGAACCGCACATGGTCTACCGTCACGATGGCAGAGAGCACTTCCGTATTCCACTCCAAAGATTGTTTTTAGACTTCTTTGCCCAAAGAGGGTGTAGACAGGGTGACGATACCCGCCTTTGTTCTTTCCGCCCTTCTAGCTCACTAATACGGAGGGAGCTGGTGCCGACTTGGCTTTCTTGCCCTGCTAGGAGCTACTTGGCGTAGTGACGGACCACTTGATGCTAGGCCCCACTCTCGGAGGCAATGGTGGACAAGGAATTGCAAGTTGGGCTTGCTCACAAACAGCTTTCTATATTGGGGCGACGTTAAGCTCTAGTTCTTGTTTGTACACAGTATTGATGTCTTTCCAGGGTGCCATAATAAGCCCAACGGAGATATTAGGGTGCAAACCCCTCAACAAACTGCTTGCAGCGCTTCTCTATCATCTGTACCCAATCCCTTCCAAACTCGGCTAGCTCGTCGAGCTAGTGCCGATACTCCGAAAGGGTGATTTCACCTTGGGTGAGCTTGAGGAACTCCTCTCGCTTGGCCTCAATGAAATGCTCCAACACATACTCCTCTTTGGAGAGGGGTTCTAAGGCAGCCCATGGCACGGGATCAGGAATGTTTTCTCTAGCGTGCTTCCACCAGTCGTAGGCGACGTCCTAGAGCAGTGCTATTGCTAAATCACCTCTTTCCCCCATGGGGACCCCAAGTTATAGAGGACCCGAACAACGTGCTCAAGCTAGCGCTTGGCGATTAATGGGTTGGCGATCTAGTTGCCTCAAAACTCTTCGGCTCCATTCTTCTTTAGTTTCTCTATCGAGACAACAACCACCGCAGGTGGTAGTGGTGGTGGGGTACGTAAGCTCCTTCCTTCTACTAGAGGAAGTTGGGTATGTTGGCTGCCATATGCGGCTAGAAGATGGGAACAACTGCTTTTTGTATGGGCACTGCGTTCGGAGCCTGCTGTTCAGGAACTTTTGGTGGTGGCGTTAAGCTTGATGCCTCAGTGGGCACCGTGTGCACACTGGCGTGCTCAGGCTCCCCTTGTGGTGGTGCCTAACCATGAGTCAAATCCTGACTCATTCTATAATAAGACAAGTATTTTTGCTTTTATATTAGGCATAAACAAATAAAATAATGATCCTTCTTGTGCATAGATGTGACGGGAAATGCAGCGTGGTGGATTTTGAAAAATTCCATTGAGTTAGGTTTTCTAAATACTTTTTTAAAACCAAATGCTCCGATACCAAATTGTAACACCTCCAACTCATAAGATTTGATTCGCCCGCAACCTGACGGGTCGGAGGGTTACATAGATTGTATTAAAGACCATCCATTTAAGAAAACCAAATTCTTTTGTCATGTTTTATTTTAAATAAAAACTGTTGGGAAAACAATCCAACAAAACATACGGAGTGAAGTAACCAGTCCAACACAGAAGCTAAATATTCAGTCCTTAAAAGTAATACGACAAAGGTGGGTTCATGCACGAAAAGAATTTAAAGTAATTTAAGAAGAACTACTAATCCATGTCCGCCGTCTGTACATCTCCTCTCTCTCATTGAACTCTGGGATAGGCTCCAAGTTCATCATTCCTACCTGCATATAGCAAAGAAAATATTATACGCTCACTATAAGCTGAGTGGTAACTCTAACAAGAGAATACATAGTGGTAAACCATATAGACATAAACATATTCATACTTGTATTTAACGTACGTATATAACAAAATGATTTAATTGAATGACCATATGATTGCATGATGCATAAGTTAGCTGTGTAAGGACCCCTTGCACTCCGAGATCACACCACGAGGGTAATGATTCGGGCAAACCTTAGTCCTATAACACACAAAGCCTCTGAATGATGCCTAAGAGGCGCATTAGGCCTGACCTCTTAAGCAGTATGCCATTATATGAATGATTCCTACGTTATGCTTTTACGTCATGCGTGATGAAATGAAGGGATATACAAACCTTTAGAGTAAACAAAGAATATATCATTCATAATAATAACATACAGTAGTTGATTTAAAGAACCATATTTGATAAACATTTAACTTCAAAATAGGGTTTTGTCTAGATCGTGGGATCGTGATGGTTGATTGTTCTTGCCAGTGACTGATCATTTGGTTGCTACGGCTAAGACTGAGACTCTAACGGTTGACTGCTCCTTACACCGTTTGTACCATGGTCTGGACAATTGAAGTGGTGAACCACGGAGGAGAAAAACGGTCCACTGTACCTATCGACAGTTGAGCGTGACTACGGCAGTAGCTCAGGCATCGTGTATGTTCTACTGTCCTTGACTGTGGTTGACTGTCACAATGCCAATTAGCACTTCCATGTTTCTTTCCAAAGATTGTTTTTACACTTTTTGCTTCATTTCCATTGAGTTATGAACATGAATACTTAAACATATATTTACCTAGGGTTCCTAGATGAATTCTAACTAAGTTCGTGGATTCATAGGTTTTAACAAATAATCAAAGGAGTCTCGGATTATGATGTAGATTATGAACAAGTAATCCTATAAGTATAACTATATCCAATGAAACTACCAATTCTATGCTAGAGGGGCAATGCACTCACCTCTAGAAAATGACTATTGATGGATGAAGATGATACGAACGATGATAGCGCTTCACGAACGTTCAACGTACAGACTCCTTCTTTCTTCCTTTTCTTCTTATTCTTCTTCTTCTTCTTCGTTGGGTCTCCTTTTCCATTGTGTCGCTGCTGTTCCAACCAAACCAAGGGAGAAGGGAGAGAGAGGGAGTTGGATGGTTTAGTTGGTGATGAAAACAAGAGGGAAGGAAAGGGGAAACGGGTGTGTATATAATAAAGGAGATGGTGATGATTCTTAGGAAAAGAAGAGGGGAGGGGCCGAAAATAACATGTGGGAAAATGGGTGATGTTTCCCATGTTGTTTCGTATTTAAATTTTGACGTGAACGGTACGCGTTTTCCCCTAGAATTGCTCCGAATAAAAAACTGTCAATATTATGACGTAATCAAACAATTTTTCTCAAGACTTTAGTTTACCAATCCCGTTCCGCATTAGTAATTAACTAATTAAATTAATCAATCCTAACATGTCGGGTTTCAGGCCGTTACATATTCTCTCATCTTGTTCTAATCAAGATTTCAGCAATGGAATTATGTCTGATGTTTGTTGTTCGTTCTTTTTATTTTGGTCATACGACCAAAAAATTGCACACCACATGTTCAACAAAATCTGCCAAAGATGTTTTGGTGCATTATACTTTAAGCCTTTTGATTCCGAATATTTTCATTTTTGTATTTGTTTCTAGGCTTATGTTTTCATTTTTTGAGAATGAACTCATTTTGTATGAATGATATAGAGTGTTGTCCCATAAAAATATATTAGTGCATACCAAAATTTATATAGAGATAATGTCTAGTTTATGCACTAAGCTTGTATATGCTTATATTCATAAAAAGTGAATCTAAACAATAATATTATGTTGGAAAGTTATAGTACGGGTTACAACGGATGGGGAAGATGAACGGCCCTAGAATAAAATAAAATAAATCTGAATTTATAATTTATTCAAATTTAATTACAATAAATAAAAACACATATAAATTCCGATCTTCAAAGGCCTTGCTCGACAATGAAGACTCTATGCACAGGCTTAAAGTAGCGAAATGAAATGTGGAACTTTTAAATGAAATCTACAAAAACCAAACACCGTAGAAGGGAAATAGAGTTGTCGTAGCTGTCCTTAAGGTAATAGTGCCCGCCTACCGTACTAGAGAATGTGTGTACCTTCCTCCTAGCATAAAACTGCTATCATGTGTGGTGGTTGTATGGACAAACCACACACCAATGAACGAGAACAATGATGGAGCATCGTCGGCCAAAAAAATATTGGAGAAGCCGGAATTTTGGTAACAAATTAAGAAAGCATCTTCACAAAGTTTAACCTTTCTTTTTTAAGGAAAGAGAAGTTTTTTTTCTTTCTCCTAACTCACGTAACATATATCACCAAGGAAAAAAATTCCTCGTTTAATAGGCTTAGCTTTAGACTTTTCCACTTTGTAACCTCCACCGTGAACTATCACTAATGATAGTCGTAAGTGGTGTATTAAAGGTGTGTTTCATGACGGTCATTAACACGCCCGTTATACTACGCCTTATTTAAAATGTCCCAAATAATTGGAGGTTAATGGCTAGTTAACTTCGTAAAAGTGGACTAATTGTAAACATTGCACAAAATAATATTAGAAGATTGGTTCAAGAAAAATATGATGTACATGCATTAATCATACTCTTTAATTTTAGCAGGTCAATATTGAGAATCAATTTCTCATTCACCCTTAAACCATTTTTGACGTATAATATATCAAAATATTTATTTATCTCTTTTTCTAAGAGAACACATGTTCATTAATTAATGGTTAAAACCGTTAGTGGACCTATTGATAATTATGTCCAAAATTCGAACATTTAATGCCTATTAAGATGCCAAAAATTCCAACAATCCCCCACATGAATGAAAAATTGATTTGGGGGTCGAAAACATCTCACGGTTGAAAACCTTCATAGAATAGGTAGTGAGTCCACTTTTGAACTTGTCCCTTGTAAGGTATACCTTCTTTACTTTCAATAGAACGCAACGTCTTCGAACTATGCTACCGTTTGTGTAATCGATATCATACCATACACAATTTCCAACAAAATATCGTTTCATTCTCATGGTTGTGCCCATTTTGGTTGTGGGACACGTGTCTGGTTCTGCGAGAGTGTGTAGAAGATTAAGCCCAAAATTCTCAATTTGAAGCAACCACACTTCCCTCTTACATATGTGATTCTTTTAAGTGTATCCCGATTACTCCACTTACACCACTGTGTTTATTGGTTAAGAATCATTAAAGCATATTTATATGTTAACCTCATCATTTTCGGGAGTCACCATCATCAGCAAGAATGGAAGGGACTGACCGGAAGTACCGATACAGCCCCCGCAGTGACCGCGCTTCATCCTACAATTAGGTTGTCCCATTGAACCTGGGTACCAGCCAAGTTGGGTTTTCCGTCATAGGACTTTCCTAGCACAAGGATTCAAACCTATTCCTACTACCAACTTCTCATGCAACTCATTTTTTAACCCTTTGGTTAGCGGATTCGCCAGATTATCTTTTGACTTCACATAGTCAATTGTGAAAATCCTAGTTGTGAAAAGTTGTCTAATGGTTTTGTGTCTATGACGAATATGTCTAGACTTACCATTATACATGTTACTCTTTGCACGTCATATTGCCGATTGAGAATCTCAATAGATGCAAACTAGTGGGACTAGTTTATCCCATCTTGGAATGTCCTTAAGGAAGTGGCGTAGCCATTCCGCTTCATCACCACATTTGTCTAAAACTATACACTCAGATTGCACGATGGACCTAGCAATCAATGTTTGTTTCATGGATTTCCAAGATACGGTTGCACCCGCTAGCATAAAGACATATCCACTTGTGGATTTTGAGTCTTTACTATCAAATATCTAATTTGCATTCGTGTATCCTTCCAACACCGGTGGATAACTCAAGTAGCAATAGCCATATTCACATGTATACCATAGGTATCTCATCACACGTGCAATAGCCTTCTAGTGCTCATCACTCGAATTGTTGGTGTATTTACTCAGCTTAGTTATGGCACAGGCTAAGTCCGGTCAAGTGCAGCTCATTAGACACATCAAAAATCCAATGACTCTCGCATACTCGATTTGAGAGTTACTGGAACCTCGGTATTTAACTAGGTGTGCGTTGACGTCCAACGGCGTCTTTGCTAATGTGATGTCATCATTGTTGAACTTGCCAATGATTTTATTCAATATAATGGGATTGGCTCAGTGCTAGACCGTCTGGTCTTCTCACAATTTTAATTCCAAGAATTACTTTATCCAGACCCATGTCCTTCATGTCATATTGTGAGTTCAACATATCTTTGGTAGACTTGACTATCTTGTCATTGCTACCTATTATGAGTATGTCATCTACATAGAGACATAATATGACATACCCTTGGGATGTGTCTTTTAAATAAACACACTTGTCTGCTTCATTAATTTTGAACCTAAAATTAATCATTACCTAGTCAAACTTTTCATACCATACTTTTGGCGCCTGTTTAAGACCATATAATGACTTAACAAGTTTACAGACTTTCCTTTCTAGACCACGAACTACAAATCCCTCAGGTTGTTATATGTAGATCTCTTCTTCGAGATCTCCATTTAGGAAAGCTGTTTGCACATCCATTTGATGAACTTCTAAGTTTTACAAGGAAGCTATTGCAAGTATCATTCTAATGGAATTTATTCTTGACACAGGGGCATATGTGTCAAAATAACCAAAGCCCTCACGTTGATTGTAACCCTTAATTACAAGTCTGGATTTGTACTTATCAATAGAACCATCTGGTTTCATTTTACTTTGAAAGGTCCACGTAGAAGCTAACGATTTGCATCCTGGAGGTAGATTCACTAACTCCCAAGAGTGATTCTACATAATGGAATCAACTTTACTTTTAATGGCCTCTTTCCACTTAGGGCCTACGGACGAAGTCACTGCTTCACGATAAGTTTGTGGTTCATTTTCAAATAAACATGTTAGAATATCGGGTTTGCTCTCTACAAAAATGATAGAGTTTCTGAATCAAATTCTAACAAGTAAGTTAGAAAATCAGGACCAAAACACTTCTTAGTCCGTGTCTTTTTACTTCGTCTTGGTTTAGTCTCAATTTAGGTTTCATCAATTATACTGGTATTAGATTAATCCGGATAACCATCGTTCAACATTTTATCATGTGAACGTTTGGACAATCCAACTTTGTCTCTCAATTTTAATGGAAAAATATGCTCAAGAAATGATGCATTCCTCGACTCCATTATCGTGTTCTTGTGTATTTCGGACTATCGGATTTATACACTAAAAACCGCTAAGCACTCCCACTGTAGCCAATGCAGATTCCGTATATGGTGTTCGGACCGATCTTCATTTTCTTTGGTGATGGTGCTAGAACTTTTGCAAGGCACCCCCACACTTTCAGATATTTATAAGAAGATTTCCTATTATACCACAACTCATAAGGAGTCTTATCGAGTTTCTTTCGGGACATTTTATTTTACAAATAATTGCTAGATAAAATAGCTTCATCCCACATATTTTGGGGTGGCTTCGAACTAAGCAACATGGCATTCATCATATCTTTAAAAGTGAGATTCTTCCTTTCGGCCACAACATTCGACTAAGGTGTGTTTGGCAGAGTTACTTGATGCACAATTCCACGTTGTGCACAAATCTCGATGAATGGAACCTCGTACTCCCCACCCCTATCACTCCTAATTGCTTTAATTTTGCGATTGAGTTGATTCTCAACTTCATTCTTATACCGAATGACAGTGTCCAACGCCTCATCTTTATTTTTAAGTAAATAAATATAGCAGTATTTCGTCCCATCATCAACAAAAGTGACCACATATTTGTTATCACCTCTTGAAGGCATTGTTTTAAAATCACACGGATCCGTATAAATCAAATCTAGTGAATGAGTGGTTCGTTCAATCGCTTGAAGCAAACTTCAAGTTGACTTCGCTTCGACACACGTCTCACACTTGTGGGACAAGTCGATGTCAAATTTGGGATACATTACATGTTAATTGATTCCCGAAGAGATGTATAATTAACATGGCCTATTCTACTATGCCACAAATGGGAAGACTCACACACATAGGCAACATGAATTTTATTAATCTTATCAACAACAGTGAGTACATTAAGCTTAAAAGCCCATAAGAAACATAGCCTTTGCCTATGAATATTCCCTATTTGCTCAAGATTAGCTTGTCAGACTCAAACACCATGTGTAAGCCATGTCTGTTTAGAAATGAGCATGACACCAAGTTCTAGCGCATGTCCGGGACATACAGAACGTCATTCAGCATGAGCTCCTTGCTGGACATCATCTTGAGCTTCACTTTGCCCATGCATTGAACCTCAGATTAAGCTAATATGCCCATCCACACCTTATCGTCAACGCCCAACATTTTCCTTGAAGTTAAAGAGCATGGCCCGATTAGAGCAGATGTGACGAGTGGCTCCGGTGTCAACCCACCACTCTTTTGGGTTAGACCCGACCAGGTTGACCTCTGCCACGACCGCATAGAGATCCATAGAGTTTAGCTCCGAGCAGAGGGCCTCTTCCTTCAATTTCTTTTTCTTCTGAGGCTTTTTACGACACTCTGAAGAACGGTGGCTTGAAATGCCATAGTTGTAGCATTTCCCTGCGAACTTAGTCTTCGTGACGCCTCCTTTAGGACCAAGCTTTTTTGTGTCCTTCTTGGTCCCTTTGGAAGAACCCTCCTTTGGTGGATGCTCCACTACATTAGCCTTAGCAACAATTACTTTGTTCTCGCCGGCCAGACCCTCTTCGCGGACCCGGAGATGAACAAGCAATTGTTCTAAGGTCATTTCTTTCTGTTTGTTCCAAGGAGCACATAAATCATCGCCGCCACTTGGAACACCTCATTGACTCCCATTCCCTCTTCAGTACACTCATTAAAGATGAGGATCAGTTCTTCATATTGGCTGACCATGGGTTTGGAACCCACTATCTTAATATCTAGAACCTTACCGACAACAAATTTCTTCATGTAACACCCCAACCCACATAACCCCGAATAAATAGATTAGTGAACCGGGTTGCTACTAAATTGGTATGCACATACAATATTTACAAAGAATTAAAAACATTTAATATAAAACTCAAACAATTTAAAATCATTTATATATATATATATATATATATATATATATATATATATATATATATATATATATATATAGGAAGATGGATCTAGAGAGAAGGCAGAGCTTAATTTCCAGGCGGCGAGGATTTTCCGATTACAGCGCCACAAATCCCAGCTCCGGTAATAACCCCATTCCATGGCGCTGCTCCATCTGTGCAAATTGCTGGCCGTACTCACAGACTCGTGGAAGGGAAAGAGTCTCAAACTATACCAAACCCAGAAAAAAAGTCCATCAATGGAACCGGTGGAGAAGATGGCCCTTCAAATCAGCTTTGAAGGATTCATATGTCCTCTCCAACACAAGACAGCTCCTAGATGGTGGAGGAGAACACGCCATATGTTAGAATAAAGGCCCAACGCTAGAGGGGGGGTGAATAGCGTTTAAAACAAAATCGCAGGAAATTAAAACGAGAGCGTTAAAGTAAAGAGCGTAAAGAAGGAGCACACCGGATTTTATCCTGGTTCACCACAACGTGTGGCTAATCCAGTCCCCCGAGAGACTCTCTCGAGCTACACTAACTCCGTTAAGCTTAAGGGTGCTTAACAAACCGATACAACTTGAGAACCCGAGTCACACGAGCCTCAACACCTTTGCTCGGAGATACCGCACTCCAAGACTTCTCACGAAGGAACAAGGAACATCCTTCGAGTTTACAACAAGGGAACAAACTCCCTTAAAGTGTATGAAAACACTTAAACACTCAGGAATAAAACTCTCACAAAGAGTAGATATGAGTGAACTAGTAAACGCTCAAGAACACGACAATTTCTTCAAGAATTGGCTCTCAGATAGCTAAGAAAAATAGGAATGCTTAAGCAATGAAAGAGTATTGAAATGTTGAAGAATTGTGTGTTAAAAGAGAGGATTTGGGTGCCATTTTATAGCCCAAAATGGGATAAACCCGTTGCTAGAATTTCCAACAGGATGAAGACAAATTTTTCAGGGACACAGGCTGATAGTCGATTGTCAAACCATGATAATCGATTATCCAAAGATTCCCTGTCCAAAAATTTAAAATTCTATCCGTTGGAGGACAACGGTAACCCAGATAATCGATTGTCAACAAGTGATAATCGATTATTGGTCCTCTCTGAAGATTCTGGGTTTTGGCTGCAAAGGCTGATAATCGATTATTGCAAAGCTGATAATCGATTATTGAGTGCTTCAGAACTTGGAAGTTCAAAGCTGCAGTGGCTGATAGTCAATTGTCACTAAGGTGATAATCGATTATCACCCAGCTAAAGTCTAGCCAGCTGAAACCCGTTTTGAAAAACCGAGGTCCAAAAACGAAGTGTTCCCAAAAGTAAAAACCAAGTTTGAAAAACATTGTATATGGTATAAAATAGTGAAAACAAGACTTGTTTGGCAAAAACCAAGTCCTCAAGGTCGTAAATCACGTGCGTACGGTTTTGACCGTTTCTCACATGTTAGACCGATTGACCAAGATACAAAAGTGGTTTTTATAAAATAATTATTCGGGAACCTTTAAAATATGCTCAGAGATAAAAGCGAGGTTTAAAACATTGAAAACCACCAAGTTGGTTCGGGCGCCAAAGACCGAACGCCGAAAACCGAACGTCGAAAGCCGAACGCCGAAAGCCGAGCGCGGACTTAGGTGGTTTTGGTTCTGAGCAAGGACCAGGGATTTTTAACAATAAAAGAAGTCATCAAAAATGTTTGTTTTGATGCACAAAAAATGTTTTATGGTTTGTAAAAATTGTTTTGACTTTTTGAGATCCGAGACTTGAATAAGTTGTCGGTTTTGATCACAAAAGACCGACTCGACTAAGTCTTCAATTCTTGATCTTGTCCTTGAGTCTTTTAGGTCTTGTTCCAAGACATTCTTCACGCCTTGAGTTATTCAACGAAACTCTTCATATCCACGGCGGTTTGGCAATTATCAAAACCTGTCAGAAATGAACACGACTTTAGTTTAACGTATAAAGTGTGTTCCAACACCATAGCCACCCTTCCGAGCCGCAACACCACCTTCACTTTCAAAACTCAATCCAAGGTATTTGAGCTATTTCACTCACATTATAATAAAAACTTCTGCATTAGTGAGTGTGGGTACAAAAGATATCAAATATGGTTTGATTTGGATACAATAAATTGGTTGTTGGAATCTATCCCTAGAATTACAGTTAATAGATCCTGGGCTATTTTCTCCTTTGGTAATTTCCGTACAATTGAAGTATCTGCTGGATCAAATAGAAGGGGTGACTTCATTAAAATCTTGGAGAAAAGAAGAGAAGGAAAGAGATTCATTTCAATTCCTCTTGGTCTTAAGAATGCTGAGATTAACTTGTTTTCCAAAGCCTTATCTTTCTTCATTGACAAGGTCTCTAACCCGGAACTTTCTAAATCACCCGATAATCTCAAATCTGCCCCTTCTGTACTTCAAGAACCAGTTTCATCTCCAATTTTTTCATTTGGAACTTCAGAACAACCCTCTAATAGCCCTCCCCAATTTGGTGAAGAAACTGCCACAAGGGCAATCAGCAAGCTAGAACCTGTTGAGAGCCAAGGAAACTCTTCTCCTAGCTCAATGGTGACTAAGGGCGGTTATATTGACTCCTCGAAGGGAGTAGAGGAAATAGCAAACAGGAATCTAGTCCCTAAGCTCCTTTCCCCCTTCGCAAAGGAATTTATCCCCCAATCCAACTCTTTTAGCGCTCTCTCGCATATTGGAACAGAAGAACCTGTTTTGGTTACAGAGGAAGATCCTTTCAAAAATTTAAATGAGAAAAGTTTGGTTCTTAGTTTTAATGCTCTTGAAGAGAGATTGTCCCCAAGTGACGAACTCATTTGGTACAACCATTCGGATGTTGAAGATGCCCCATTCTTTGTGTCAAAACTAAGGCATTTAGCAATCGATCTTTCTAGATGCTCGAAAATCTCTATGGATCTACCTAAAGTCTTTAAAAGAAGGAAACTCTACTCTCCTTCACAGATTGTTACACGTAGTAAAGCTAAGGTTCTTTCCTCGTGTAATAGCATTCTCACTTCGGGCATGTACGTTTCAGAATCAGATGATAATTTTGTTAGTGATTTTGAAGGTGATCTAGATAAAATCTGCCGACCGTTTAAAGGTCAAAATCAGATCGACTTTTCTCTCAAGGCCCCTAAACTGAAAAAGAAAGGGAGGCAGCGTACAAAAGCTCAAAAAAAGAAGAAGAAGAGTATGTATTGATACTTTCAAGGCTTTTGAAGATTCTGTTTGGGTTATTTTGCAGTTAGTTGGTTTCAATATACGCAGCACTCTTTTGTTATGGGCGTTCCTTCTTTGATCACTCAAGGTTTTGAAGTTGTGCCTACTACCGAGTGCCTTGGATAGAATGGCACTCTTCTGATATGGTTTCAATTTACTTTCAGAAGTGTCTTGATGCTACAAGAACCATTTTTGTATCAGTTATACCGATTGGATTGGATCTGGTGAGGCTGTGCTTTTACATTCACAGCGATGAATAATGGCATAACATTGGTGGCAGTTTGTACCATAGCCTGCCTGGTTTTGGCAGTAAGTTCACAGCATCCTTTTGGCTTGCTTTGGATGGATGTCTCCAATGCACATGTATTTGTATCAATACAAATTGGTTTGGGACAAGAATGGCAGGGGCACTAACCAATGATGTTCAGCATTCCTTGTCTTTTTTTCCTTGAAATCTCGTTTGAGTAGTTACACAATCATTACTCACTTTCTCTTGTATTTTGTGTGTGTCCACTTATGTATGTTGAGATTGCTTTGTATACTTTAGGACAGGCCAACTTGTAGGGGTCAGGGCCGCCCCCACCCTTTGTACTTTCTTTATTATTCAATAAATTATTTCCATATATATATATATATATATATATATATATATATATATGAGTTTATACAAACAGTGCGGAAGCCCTATAATTTAATCAAATATCAAGTTTACTAAATCCATGCATCCGTACATCTCCTTCATCCTTCTGCTCTCCGGGATGGATTTTAGAATCAATCTTCCACAACCACCTACGTGTAACAAAGAGGAAAAAGGGGCTACACACTCAGCAATGAAGTTGAGTGAGAAATATCTAACAAGTTGAACATACACATAGGCGAATCCACTAATTCACAACCATCACATGATATCATGCACACAACATGCATAACAACAATCATATAGTATACAAGGTTTAACATGCGTAATCAACATCATATCAGTTCATAGGATACAAACAACAACAATATAAGTATTATGAACTTTCCTTTTTAGTTTACTTTACTTAAATGAATCCGACTTGTATATGGAGTCATGACCTTCCCCTTCGAAACAAAGGTCAAGCTCAAACCAACTCGGAAGTTCCTCATTGGGTTGGAGAGATCGCTATCCCCATCGGAACGACAGTTCTTAGATCCCTGTGTACACTTTTTTACCTCAACAACCATTGGACCCATCTGGTACCACGTGGCTCTAACTTACTACACTTTTGGCATACCCTGCCACTAATCCATTCAGGTCTTTTCCTAGAGTTTTTTTAGGTGATATATCCAACATTCATTAATCAATACATCAACATCCATAAATCCACAATGCATTTAATAAGATATCCAACACAATCAAGTAGCAGCCTAACACTAGGTGTAGACACCCATGTTTACCGTCATGCAAAACACGTAGTCTCAGAATCAATCCTTGACGAAAACACAGGTCGATAGACCCGGCATCAGGTACCAGACGGTACATGTCACGGTACAAGGTCCCGTCCTCACGGTACTTGGGTACCGATTCTATGGTATCGGGGGTACCGACCAAATCCACTAAACTCTCCCGGTCGGACTATCATGGTAGCTGGCTACCGACTGGGCGGTAGGGCCTCTTGTCTGTCCAGTACTTACGTGCCGTACGGGTACAGCTACTGACAGAGAAGAAAAGAACAACAGAGTGTGACGGTAGCACAGTACCGTCCTAGCGGTACAGCCTACTGTCTGACGCAACAATTTCTATATTTAAACCGGTTTCGTTTTTCAGAATCAAAACAACAACAATCTTAGAACAACAAACACCATTATGTTCATATTAACATTCTAAACATTATCAAGCAGATTAATTTGTCAATCAACGCCTAAGTCATGCATACTACCCTTTTCGATTCAACGACGACGATTCCCAAAACCATAATCAACAATTACACAGATAAATCACATAGATAAACCACGATAATAATTATGAACGAAATTTCAAACCTAGATGCATATTCTAGTGTTAGATGTCAACGTACTCACCTTGACTCGTTGATTCGATTCAAAAGAACATCATTCGGATTTCATTGTCGGAGTAATCTCGCCTGCTACCCAAATGCCTGCCACGGTCCGAAACATTTAGTTGCTGCCCAATTGATGTTTTAATGACTGTTAGCCATTTCTAAAGGAAAGTCTAAGCCAAAATAGCGATGTTCACTATATGAATATCGATGTTAAAAAGGCCAAAATCTCGCAGACCAACTTTGATTTGATTTCCATAAATCATGCCAATAAACCCCAATGAATTCCCATCCGTTGGACATCATTTTTGGGTATAAATAGGAGTCTTTTGGGTCTATTTTCACAACCATTCCTCACACATTTCATAGCTTTACATTGCATCATTCCATAAACTTTTTACATAGTTTTTTAGAGCCATTTCTTTAGGAATTGAGCGTGTTCTCAATCTAAATTAGTTTACTCATATTCTTTTCTTTGAGAGAGTTTTTGTTTTTGAGGGGTTAAGTTTTGTAAACACTAAAAGGGAGCTTTGTTCCCTTGGTTGTACGAAGGAAGGGTATATTCCTTTGAGTTGAAGTCTTGGATCGCAGAATCTTCGAGCAAGTGTATTGAGGCTTGTGGGACTCGAGTTCTCAAGTTGTAACGGTTTGTTAAGCACTCGTAAGCTTAACGGAAGTAGTGTAACTCGAGAGAGTCTCTCGGGAGACTGGACGTAGAGACACGTGGTGAACCAGTGTATATCGCTATGTTCTTTCCTTACTCTTTTTAATTCCGCTCCTTACTTTATCCATGTGATTTTTATTCTGCAAAAAATTATAAACATTCTCGTGCCTCACTATTCACCCCTCTCTAGTCAAGGGCACTTATTCTAACAGCGTGCACCCCAATCCCAGGTGCACACTTCGACCT